AAATTAATAGGAAAAACATTTTGAGTTTGCCAATTTTTTATACTTATGATATTTATATGGGAAAATATGAAAAAGAGTTTACAAAAAATAAGAAATGTAAAAAAAAAAGAAAAAGGTGTGCCATCCCTTGTGGGGATCGAACCCACGACCTTTGGATTAGAAGTCCAACGCGCTATCCTCTGCGCCAAAGGGACTCTGTATGCCTTGATGACATAAAAAGCAATATAGCAGTTTTAATTTATTATGATAAAAAAAATAATTTTCATGTATTATTTTTCAATATGTTATTAGAGAAATCAACAAAAATAGTGAAATTTATTTTGATAGGCAAAGAATGTATTTTTTTATGTGATCAAAAAACTCAAGATGTATGACGAAAATAAAAGATTGACAATATTATTTTGACAAATAAAAAACAATATATTTATTAGAGTCACCTATTAACTGGCAAATCTAAATACCAAAACAATTACACGATATAGTGGAAAAAAGTAACAAGTCATCCTAATAATTAATCATTCCAATCTTTTATCATTCCAAGTTTAAGCAATGTTAAGCTTCTTAATAATTTTGTAAATATGAAAACTTAATTTTAGATGTTTTGCAATAATTTAAAAATATATTGTTGATAAACTTTAATTATGCAAGTCATGGCTTATTATAAAAAAATTGAGGAATTGTGCATAAAGCGCGAGATCATTTTTAATTTGTTCATTTAAACAGAATCATGATTCAATTTTTATAATATAACAGTTGTGGCGAAAAAAATTCTCACGTCATATTTTTAAGAATTTTTCACATTTTAAACTTATACTTTTACTTTTGATGATTCATACTCCGATATTCGTGATGATGTTTATGATTATTAATTTATGAGAATATTAAGTTTTAAGGATAAGAATATTAAATTTTCCAAGGATGTAAATCAACTAATGCGAACCAATACAGGTTAGGCGTGTGTGAAATCATATAATTCTATTCTTGAGAAAAATTGACAAACGTTTCAATCGCAAGATTGATAGTTATAAAATTTATTTTTTATATTTATATATTTATTTATACTGAAGGAGGATCCAAACTAGGATCGAAGCGTATATTTATCTCATATTATAAAGTATAGATATAATTACACACTACTTTCAACCTATGTTGGCTCTCAAAGGCTTTAACGTTTTAAATAAAGGCTCTTTAACGTTTTAAATTTACTCTTGTCTAAAGATTATCTGAAAAAATATCTTAATTTCTTTAGATTTTATAAGTTTTCTTCGAAACTTATACAGTGAGAAATCTAGAATATTTCAGAGAATTATATATACATATACACGGTCCCACAATTTTTTAACAAGCGTGTGGATAGAACGGGTTGAAATCTGCCATTTTCGCAATAGTTAACGAGATATTAATTACTAAAAATTGTTTGAAAAAGTATTTGAATTTGTATTAAAAAATTTGAGAAATTTTCAAAAAGTTACAAAAATATGTTTTCAGAAATTCTGAAAAATTCTAAAGTTATATAAAAAATTTTGAAAAATATTTCACCAGGAATGTTATAATATGAATAACTGTTGAATATAGTACAGTAGTAATAGTAGTAGTAATAATATAGAACGGTAGTGTTTAAAAACTTTCTCATAAATCCGAGAACTTTTCTGAAGTAGGTACTATAAAAAGATCTCTGTATTTATTAAAAGTTTTCCTGTACTATTGCTAGTTTAAGGACGATGCCAATGTTGACATTGTCTGGAAAATTTGAAGGATAATTCGTCTGTTGAATTTATTTTGTGACGTAAAAAGTGCTGCTTTGAATATTGAATTCTTAAATTATTACATAAAGAAGAAAAATGTGTACAAGTGTTTAGTAAATACTTTAGATTAATTTATAAATAAAAACCTAATACGAAAAGGAAACAATATAATAATAATAATAGAGGGAAGGCCCCTATTATGAGATACCGAGTTTATTTTGGATAAATGCTAGAAGTCTATGGGCAGAATTTAAAAAAATAATAGGTCATTTTGAAGGGAATTTAATAAGCTTTAAAATAACGTTTATTTAATAAGCTTTAAGATAACGTTATATAAAATTATAATTCTAATTCCATTTTTTTTTTAAATTAAAGAAATGTAAAAAGTGAGCAAATCGTAAAGTCAAAAAATTGTGCTCCTAATATGAGATGCCCCCAGAAATCGATAGTAAAACGCAAAGTATATCAATATTGCAATTAAAAAAACTTTATTTCATGTTTCTAAAACGCAAATCAAAACAGCCGGCGAGCGTGAAAAATGAGTATGCGATAGATTACATCCAGGACTCATCTTTAGATAGTTCGAATTAAGCATCGCAGAAATAGGCACTTGACGTTCATTCCGGTTGTCCTTTTTATTATTGTACAATAACGTTTATTCTTTAGCAACGATTTTTATTATACATAGAAGCATGAGTTATTTCATATTAGAAATACCCTGGGTATCTCATATTACGATTTCCTCGCCTTACATGGTTTTACGATCATCAAATCTAACTTCTGTAATTAAACAATTCAACATACCCCATATTTTTCTATTAGTACAATCTTACTCTAGCACTATATGAAGAATTTATTGCCAAATATTTTTTTTTATTAAATAATAAGCAAGGTTTAAAGGCTCATCTTAAAATTTGAAACAAATTCTAAAATCTTATTTTACAATGATTACAGGCGTGATCTAATAATGAATTTTCTACTAAATAGTTTTCAATCCAAGAGCAATAAATTCATGGCGGAACCAATAGATAGCCTTTTATCAGTTTAGCAGAAACGCCGCTATCTCATAATAAGGGACTTTCCTCTAATAATAATAATAATAATAAATTTCTATTCCGAAATCTCAGGATTAATTATATTGTGTTGAAATTGATCGACAATTGAAAGCTTATGTGGACATCATATTAGAAAACTTCTTACATTTTTAAATTTTTATTTTGATTGATTTTAATTGATATGTTTGATATTAGGTATAGTAAAAAGAAATCCATTATTTTTCCATTCAATTTCATGCAAAAATAATGGATTTTCTTTTTACTACACCTAATATAAAAATTTCAGATAAGTTTACTTGAAAATTCCTCGACACAGTTGATGTAATATTGTCATGTGGATGTAAATTTTTATGTATTTGACGTCGGAATATTATCTTGTTCATCGTAGATCTAAACCTCTCATCAGAGTTTTATTTAGCAATGATTTAGAAATCTTAAAATTTTGCTATTGTTTAAATATACAGAAATATAAAATTAATTGCGAAATTAGCTGTCGTGTTGAATCCTCGCTTAAATATGGTCAATCGGAAATTTTCAAGAATAACTTTCAAAAAGAATTCTGTATGGATCTTTCTGAACAAATTAATAATATCCATATTGTATTCGAGTTTTTAAATGAGAATAATATAAATAATTCGATATATCTTAAACCAACTTTAATAAAATAAAAACATATACTGTAATTCTATATTATATAATTGTATACTATAATTGTATATTTTGATTAAAAATATAAAATTAATTACGAGAGTTATAAAATTTATGAGTAACACAATTCTCTAATTTTTACTCGCGATTCTAAAAATGTATCTTTGTTTGTTCAACACACCGACCGAGTCAAAATACTTGAACAGCTTCGTTGTTTTATTGCCATTCGGAAAAAGCAACAACAATAAACAGCAATAACAATAATAATAATAATAACAATTCGTTCTCCAGAGAACACGTCGATAAACGGCGCGCATCTGCAATGTCCCGACGCCGCTCGTCGTCGGCGTCGCGTATTGACCGTGGGGATAACGATAATTGTATTGTCGCATCGCTCGACGACGACTACACGACGACGAGCGAAATCAGCGTGAGCGTAATAATCGTAATGCCGACAATAGGCGACGCACAAAGGGAATTAGACACCTATATATACGCGGAAGCGTGTTCGCGCGCGGACGTCGCGACAGCCGTGCGCATGTCACCTTTTTATGCTGTCTCTCCCCGGCCTCACTCTCTCTCTCTCTCTTCTCATGCTGGGGTTGGTTCCTCTCTAATTACATCGATCCCCGACCGCCATCCGATTGGTCCACCATCCAGGATCCAGCCTCCATCCGCTCCGCCGCCGCCACTGCCGCCGCGCCGTGCAGGTAAATCTCATGCGAACGTGAAACAATCAGATCATCCGGGAAACCGCGAAGAGAGGTACGGGGCAGAGGGAACCCCCCCGGGGTCCATGATGACGCCGGGATGCTGCGGAGAGTGTTGCCCAAGTTTTTCAGCCACCGAACATTTAATGGTTGCGGGGGAGGAGAGGGAAGGGAACGGGGGGGGAGCTTTGCAGAAGCTCGTTGCCGTGGTTGTTGTTGTTTCTGTTCTGTTGCTGCTTGATATCGTTTGATCTTTTGAGGAATAGAATACCAATGCGAATGTGTAAAACGTGATGCGCGAATTAAAGATAATTGAGAGATAATATCGAAAATAAATATGGAAATATTGCGTGATAAAACGAAATTAAAATAAAATAATTGATGTATTGCATTACGGCCAAAATAACTTTAAATTCATAATATTTTATGTATTTTTACAGATAATTTCCAACGGATCCTGAACTCGATAATAAATTATAGCAAACAAATTAAAAATAGAAATTTGAAGGTTTTTTTTTAATTAAATATTTTATTAATTAAAAGAAAACAGTTTTATTATCCATTTAATTCTTTAAATCACATTTCGAAAAAAGCCTTTTTCAATTTTTTATAATTTGAAAATTATTAATGACCCACATTGAAAAATCAATTTCAATTTATATATCAAAATATCTGTCGTAAAAAGCGAAGGTAAAAGAATTTTCTATTGAAGTATTTATCGTAAAAAAATAATAATGCAATTAAAGTAGGGCATTCTATGTATCTATATTCTATGTAAAATATCACAAAATACATATTTTAAGACAAATTTATCATAATATTATTATTTAATTACTTATTATTATGAAGATTATTATTTTATTATAAGTTTAATAAATTTCGCAATCGGATTTGTTCCTCTTTGCTTGTGAAAAGCATACAGGATACAGTAATAAGGAGGATAGTATTTTAATCAAAGATTAGAATTGGAGGGAAAATATTTGAATGTAGCAATAATAATCGGCATTCATCAGAACTCATCGTTTCATTGCATGAAAATAGAATAGAATGAACTCAGAGCAATCTCGCTGTTCACGCTAAACCGCGCGCATTCTTTTTTTCCATTTCTATTCGCGAAAACCCTCTTTTCATTTTCTCGCAGAGCAACGCATGATTGGTACTGTGATTAAAGTAACTTATATTTTCCCCCTCTATTGTTTTTCTGAAATCACTTGTTTTTATTGTAAATTTAATCATATGCTGCTTAATAATTTTGCATATAAAACATGATTTTTTTTCTGAAAAATCTAGACATATTTAAATAAGATAGTTTACTATTTATGTCAATATCAAAGAAATTATTACGATTTGTCGATAATATTTCTATATATATAAAAATAAATATATCTATTAATTAATTTATTATATAATTTTTCGGAGATATTGTGAGTACGATATTGAATAAGCCACTGAATAGGATTTATTATTGACAACTGTAAGCAAGTAAGTAGTAATTATTCTGTATGCATATATTATTGTTTACTTTTATTGTTTTTATTGTTATTATTTGTTTTTTTGTTTGAATAATCTGTAGTCATAAAGTAATTGTCGTCGTGACATAGCAATAGTATTTTAAAATATAATGAAAACAACATAATAATTAAGATAAATTCTAAAAATAACATGGTTTATCTTAATTTTGGTATGTACATGTATATTATATTAAATGTATATACACACAGAAAAATACATACAAATAATAATTTTGTTTTTTTTAAATGCTAAAAACTTTTAAAAGTTCATATATTCGCAAATCTATCATAAATTCATTAGCATCAAATTTATTCAAAATATATATACATATTCTGAATCTTAGTAAGTTTAATACTTCAATTAAGATTATTAAATTAGAACAAATTAAATTTACTTATTATTAAAGATGCTTCTACGATCAATTTTATATTAAAAAAAAAAACACAATTCTTAAATTCACAATTCTTTGTTTTAAGTTAATAATGAGTTTTTCTAAAAACTTGTAGTAAGTACATTTTAAGATTATAAAAAAATATTCTTTAGTAAAGAGAACAACCGTTACTTAAAGAGAAGAAAATAAATGAAGTAATCACTTTTTTTAGCAATAGAATGATATTTTTCCGTTTTTGACAAATATACATTGTCTCTTGATATTTTTATTAAAAAAACAAATTTTTAATGATCAAAAACTTTCTAGATCATAGATTATAGATTATCCTCATAATCTTCGTTCATGGAAAAGTTGTAGGATCTCTTACAAACGCTTTAAGAAAGGAACTCAATCAAGGAGACCGCCACGGTGAAATCGGAAAATCCTAAGGGGTATCGCGTGTTTATCCGTCCACAGGAAGCGAAACTTTCGGCCGTACAAATGCGGCCGCACGTGCGATTTCGCATAGGGGCGGTGCAGCGTCGCACGGGAAAGGGAGGGTGGCCGAGGGTGGAGTGATATCTCCGGATGTAGAAGGGAGGTATCCCCCTACCTCCGGTCCTTCGTTTCTCAGTCAGCACGAGGTGAGAGAATGGAGGACGACCAGGTGATTCAGACGCGCGTGCCACCCCGCAGAAACTGACGTTCTTTAGCCCGCGGGATCTTCTTCGTCTTGCTGCTGTGCGAGTTCTTCAAACTCTGGAAAGTCTTATGGGATAGCTTCAGTTATGATCGACCGGAAAATTGTATTCCTGTGAAGTTATTACCGGGAGTTAATTCGGAATATGGTAACGTCGAGTGAAAATGAATTTCGGTCGGATAATAAAAAGGAGTAATGAGAGAAAAGTGAATTATGAAAGATAATCAGGTTTAAAATTTACGACAGGCGGAAATTTTGTTTCGTAAAACTGTGAATTCCGCGTTCTAGAAATTTGAACAGTTTCGAATTTCTGGTTTCTACGAACTGTGTCTTGAATGCATCGAGTCTATTGGAATAATAGTCATAAATGTTTTCTATAAGTTTAAATCTGATGACACTTAAATGCAAGAAATCCTGAATCTTTAAAAAAATAATGTTCCATATCTGAGAATTTACGATTCATTTATTTATGCTAGAACATTTGGACGAACAGAAAACTTCAGTAAAAAAAAATCTTTTAAACTCATCTTTTGTTTATCTGAAAGAATTTTACTTTTAAGAAAAGAGAGAGAGAAAGAGAGACTTTTACTAGATTATTTTGCTTCGTTTGAAAGAAATATTGGGAAAATCTTTCGTATGAACGATTAAGTCTACAGATTATATATATTCATTAAATGTCCGCAAAGAAGACGAGAAGACCGTCATCGCCGCGACGTTTCTTCGCGCGGCTTTACGGTCATTTGGAGGCGACGAAGAAAACGGAAGATGACGAGGATGAGGATCACGCGAGGGAAAGTCTGGATTCTTCGCCAGAGATCACGGAGAAAACATCACACGAGCTTCCCGATTCACCTGAATCACATAAAATATTGCCTGTGAGTACAAATAGATCCACCGTTTTAATATACAGACAGCAAAGTATCATTCTGTCGCTAAGAAAAGTGATCACTCGACTGATTTTCTTTCTTTTAAGTTACGATTATTTTTAACAAAAATATTTTCTCGATAATAATCTTAAAACGTACTGATTATGAATTTTAGAGAAACTCATTAAACATTTTGTAACACTTAAAACAAGAATTGTCTTTTGAAGAATATCATAAAATCGATTGAAGAAATTTTATATAATAAGCAAATCGAGTTTGTTTTAATTTAATAATTTCATTGAATTATTAAACTCAAAGTATCTTAATTTTCGATTGATTTCTATAAAGTTCCTAAAACATGCCTAAAGTTCCAGAGACTGACTTTAAAGTTAAGTTTCCTAAACTTTTTTCGAGGAAAATGTTTTAATTGATATTATGATAATCAGAAATTCCGTTTGGTCTCACCAAAATGTCAATTTTTGTTGGTTTTATTAATTACTCAAAATATTTCTTTATTGTAATTTATTAGTATAATGTATTTAATATAATTTTAAAATTTTGAAAATTTCTGTATGAATTTATAACTTTTTAGACAATTTTATTATATAATTTCTTCAGTGTTTAGATACAAATTGGGACACTTCTCAAAAGTCTATATCTCTTCTAAAACTTCTTAACCTATGAATTCTGAAATATTACAAAATTTTTAACTTTCTCATTCTATATTTCCGAAGAAAAGTTATAAAAACAAGAAGCTTAAGATATTTTTTTAAGTTTTGTAAGTTTGAAATGTGAACAATTCTCAAAAAAATATGATGAGATGTTATAAGAATTTTGTCTAAATTTAATCAATGTTAGGATTAAACTGTCACTTTTCTACTTTTGTAAGGTGTCACACTCCAAGGACCTCGAAAAAGTGCCAAATGATGTCGCAAATAGTAAAATATTCGAGAGCAAGGAAACGAAGAAAGATTCGATGCTCGCAGGTGTGAGACTGCCTTTTCTGCACGGATTCCTTCCGCGAGGACCCGGCCAGACTTTTCATCTCACGCAGCTCGCGCACCCATCCACGTTGCCGCCGCATCTTCATGTTTTGCCAAACCATCAGTCCATGGCCGAGCACCACTTTCAAGGATTCTCAGCCTTCCGTAAGTTCTTGTTGCTTCTGTATCGTAGATTTCAGTCCTCCGCAATTAGTTAACATAACTCTCACACGTGTCTTCTGCTGCTCTGGAAAAATTCTAATAAATGCATACAATCAATCGATTTTTGTTAAATCCATTTTAATAAAATTAATTTTAATCATAAATTTAACTCTAATTCTCTCAGATTTGCTCCGAAATTTCCTTAATTGATATTCGTTCAGTATATTTTAAATTATATCTTAAAGTTAATGTAATTGAATGATTTTTTTTATTTTGAAGATAAAAATTCGAAGTATAAAATATATGTAACTAGTATATGTAACTTAAAATTATGTAAGATTATGAAAATTTAGCTTTAATTAACATTAAAAATTGCTTTATTTTTGTCGAGTATTTAATTTGGTTGATTTAAACAATGATTAAATAATGAAACTGTTAATTAAATAATTCGCGTTGTTCTGAATGCTTGCAAATATCAGGAATATATTTAAGGATGTTCGGATTTTAAATATTTAAAAATAAATTGGTCCTATCGCGAAGTTCTTCTCGTAAAAATCTACAAATAAACTAGATACTGAACGACATTCATTATCAGATATTCTACGAATATATCAAAATCTATTTTTCATTTAAAATTATAGTATACATTAGGAGCCTGAATTTTAGCATGGATTTTATTTAATATTCTATATGGTACCATCTATGTGTGTATGTATCTTTGGCCAAGAAACAAACACTCTGTTCCATTCGTGCAACCTGCAAGTTGCATAGAGATACACACCACGAAAATGCAGGTGACTGCATAACGCGTCTCCGAAAGCTCTCTCTCTCTCTCTCTCTCTCTCTCTCTCTCTCTCTCTCTCTCTCTCTCTCTCTCTCTCTGCTCTCTCTCATTTTGTATCTCCTTCCTCCTCGTCTCTTCGTAAGCTTAGGATCGAAAGGCATCTTTGCGTTCGAGTATTCGCGAATCAGTAAGCAGATTTTGTGATGTCGTATTACGTGACGCCCGCGCCGAGCGGACACGGCCACCGTCCAGACGGAGAGGATATTAAGGCACTCTTCTATTGCGCAACAATGGCACAATTCCATACAGGAAGGATTTCAGGAGGAAATCAATTCAGACGCTCCTCTGAAATTTAACAAAACTTTCACCGTTTTTCCGCGGCCTGACTCTCTCCCAGCTCTCTAAAAAAAAAAAAAATGTATTTGTTCACTTATACTTTTCGCAGAAATATGGTATTAAAAAAGAGACACTTGAAAGGGAATCTTTTGTCTTATAGAAATTTGAAATATTGACAAATTTTGAAATATCATAATTTTGAAATAAATAAAAAAAAGTAAAAGGTTTGATACAAAAAGCATAGCTTTTTTAAGTACAAAAATAATTATTCGAAACACATTAAAATGTTGAGCAATTACTTATAGGAAACATCCGGGGCAAATGATCGTTTTTAAGCGGATGAAAATATTTTTTTTGATAATTTCACAGAACTAAATAAATTTAAGAACTTTCTTTCTAAAATTCGAATAATCTCGGTTTTTTAAATTTCCCAGTTGTTTCAGAAGTTGTACGAATGTTGTAGAATAGTACATCAACTTACATAAAAAATTCGATGAATATATTTTTAAATAAAGTATTTATAATTTATAATTATATTTATAATTAAAATATTTTAGAATTTTTCATAAAATATAAATATGCCCGAAATCAGAATTTCTGAAATACTCTTTTTCCTACAATATTTTTAAACTATTTTAATTGTGAAAATATTTAAAATATTCTACAAATATTTATGAAAAACTTTTGAAATATTAAAAAAAATGGTTCATATAAATATTTCACACTATGTGTATGGGATTTCTATTTTTACAAATGGGATTAGAGATATTCTAGCAGATGACCAGAGGATATCGCAGCGGTGGAGGACGGGAGAGAGGAATTAACGAATTTCACTCTTCATCTGGAAAGTTTGACGCTCCGCGTCACGCCAGAAACATTGCGAGGACAAGCCGCACGCGGCACGCACATTCACTCGCGGGTTTTATCCCGCTTCGACACTTCGTCGCGATATTGTGATGAGATTACGAGACGCAGTTGGCCGCTCCTCAATGCGAGAAATACACTACCGCAGTATTCCTACTGAAAAACCCAACTCTTCTCCTCTCCCAAGTTCCCTTAAGCCTCACAAGCCACCGATTTGACTCGCTGGATGTTTGTGTAAGTCGCGGCTTGTATCGTCGAGGAATCTATACCCGTTGATATCTGTGTGACGTATCCAGATTTGATCCCAGCGATCCCAATTTGTTCCAAACATCGAAAGATATTTTTTTCGTAAAGATACTTAACAGGTGTCGCAGCACATCGACGAACATTATACAGAAATTCTCATAATATTCCATAATATCTTATAATATTCTTAAGAATTTTTCATATTTTAAATTTATAAAGATTTCTGAAGTCTTAAACGGTTATAAGGTCCAAGGAGCAATTAGTATCCCATATCCGCTTTACGCCAGATTGGACGAAGCCTCGAGAAGCCTCAATTTCCGATATCGCTCTCTTTTACCAGTGCATCTTAATTATTCTATTACGTAACAAAGATGAAATTACAGCACGCCCAGATTTATTTCACGAATCCCATCAAGTGTGCTGAAAAACCAAAATGAGAATCAAATTGAAGTATTAAGAAAGCAAATCATGATACACATGTGACGAATTTTTTATTTTTAAATTACTAAATTTTCAAATTATTGAATTATTTTAAAATATTTAAATTATTTGTTACTTGTTGCTTTTCGTCAATTAATTTAAATGTTTAGAAGAAATTTATGAAAACGATAAGCTTTTGTCACGTGATTATTCTTGTTTTACGCTGATAAAATTATTATCAATTGAACAATAATTGAAAGAACGAACCATATTATTTTTCCATCCCCATTCTACTTCGTTGCATTGCTACGAAACTCTAGCTTAATACACACGACAGTTTGATGACCATTTGTTTTTCCAATTAATTTTCATCACTTTTATATAAATATAAAAGTTATTAAGTGATTATACTTTAATATAAATCTAGAAAAAATTTATAAAGTTGTGTATTTAAAAAGGAAAAGAATAGAAGCTGTTGTTTAAGATAAATATGTACCTATGAACACTTATAGAAAATTTATTATTATTAATCTAAATGCTTTTTTTATTACAATATTATAATTTAAATATATTTAAAGATTACAATTAAATTATAATATTATATTTAAAAAAATATTTGAGATTAATAATATGAACAAATAAAGCTTGGGTGAGCATTCGGACATACTCAGACAGCACACAATAATATTTATAAATGTTTATAAGATTTATCTGAAATATTTTCTAAATATTTTTGTGGTTTTAGATTGCACAAATTAACATCATTCATTCATCACAGATCATTGAACATTTATTGTAAATATTATGAAATGCCCAGATAGCACAAAAAGTTAAAAAAAAATTTAATAATATATCAATAGCAATTCATTTTCAGATGCAAAAGATGAATTCTTTTTCTGAAATGATGACATATTACTGAATAATTCTTTTTAAACTCTCTGTGCTATCTGATATTTATTGCAGTTGTGTGGTAAATGCTATAAATGAAAGTATTTAATAAGACATTAGAATCTAAGTAAAAAATAATTACTATAAATATTTTATTTATATTCATCATAAATATTATATAAAATATTTAGTCTATATTTTAATACTTCAAATAAAGCTTTATATAAAATATGTCTAAAATGTTTATGTAACATTTCAAAAAATGAATAGTAATAAATATTCGGTGCTATCTGAGTACATGTCTAGTCAATGGAATCTTTAGTCAGATACTCTTAATATTTCAAAGAAGAGAAACGTGCAGAATATGAGAGAATGATGTATACTAAAGATTAAAATTAAAAATACTTCAAAATCCTTAGTTCTGATTCTAGGAAAATAATTTATGACACAGATGTTTACATGGCTACATTTAAATCAGAATTCTATAGAAATAAGAATATCTCGTGCTATACATACGTAAATTTTGAACATGTGAAAGAAACTTTTGCACCTACTGGAGATTTGATATTTCTTTCTTCGCAGTGGCGCGTAGAAGAAGAAAAGAGGGCCGACCACGAAGACAAAGGACAACATTCAGCGGCGAACAGACGCTAAGGTTGGAAGTTGAGTATCGGCGGGGAGAATACATTTCGAGGGGACGCAGATTCGAACTCGCAACTTCCTTGAGACTTACCGAAACGCAAATCAAAATCTGGTTCCAGAACAGGCGCGCCAAGGACAAAAGAATCGAAAAGGCGCAACTAGACCAGCAGTACCGGTACTCACTTTTTTATCTATTGAAATATATCTATATAATCTATATAATCTATCTAAAATCTTATTTGTAATCTTAATTATATCTTTGGATTTCTTCTCGAGAATACTATTAAATGAATTCGTTTTTCTAAATTTTTAATCGCCTAGAAATTCAATCACATTATGAAACTTTTCATCTATTAAATATCTAAATTTTTAATTTATGAAAATATTTCAAACTGTATAAAAATAAGAAATTTCAAAGTCAAAGTACAAGACAAATACACAGTAATGATATCGAATACACAGATAAAAGTTCCAAAAAAATAGCAGACTTCTAATATACGGAGTACAAACAAATTGTTCAAGACTTTAAGGAAATGTGAAAGAAACAAATTGATGTTTTAATTCTCCAGAAAGACCTTACATTCTTAAAGTTAGGATTTTATATTGCTATTATTTCTGAAAGTTACTTAAGCCACGTTAATCTAATTTCTCTTCGTTGAAACTGACATGGGAAAAGTAAGAGGGTTATATGGAACATGTGGCAATTTTCGCATAGATCCCACATCCTTGCATCCCACGCACGATGCATCCAGTCGATTTGTTATCTTGTCAGCATGATGTATCATGCTTTTCAATGCGACTATTAACGCGCGGGCGTTAGTTTCATCAGCTGTTCTTAGAAATATAAAATTATTCTCAGATTATCGGGGAGGCTGCGTTTATCATTGAATTCTCCAATTTTCGAAATTCTCACGTCGATGAGAGACATAATACCATAAAAATAATTTAAAAATAAAATGATTCTCCTTCTTTTAAATTATTCTTTTTTCTTCTCTTTCTTTCTTTTCTATAAATTTCAAAATATGAAAATTATTCTCAGGTCATCCCGAGCCCTGTTTACATTCGTGAATACTCCAATTTCCGAAATTCTCACGACGACGGGACTAGAACCTTCCTCTAAATATCCCAAATCGCGAGAGAAACCCCATCAACCATCTCACCTGAAATCACGAGTACAATTATTCTGGAGAACACGGCCGGCACGGTCCGAAAGAGAGACGCGTTGCCCGATGAATTCGGCACCCTTCGTAATGCGAGGCGAGGCGCCGAGAACGCCCCGCAAAGCACCGCACAAAGACCGAAATTTGTACGAGCTCCTCCTTCCGCCGTGGATCACAATAGCGGGAGACGTAATCCCACTTAAGGCTATTTAGCGGCGTATCGCATCGGCGTATCAACTCCCAGTCGAACCGCAGTCGAGCGCGTCGCATATTCGGGGTCCGTCGAATCTCGCCAACCCTTCGCTATCCTTGCACCCCTTACACCACTCCCGATGAGTGCTCCCGGTGTTATTCAGTCGATATGCACCTGACGCTCGATAAACCGGATAAACGACGGATAAATGCATCCCCCGTGTTAACCGCGAGATTTTCTCATCCACTTGTCGCAACCCTCGAGCATTCATGCATTGTCCTCATCTCTGCAATTTGCTCTAAAACCGTTCAAAGACATTCACAGGAGAATTTCCGGGGAGAGGATTCTGAGAAATGAGTGGACAGAGTTTCATTTCGACAGTTTCATTTCAATCACACAAAATTTTAAATAAAATCTTAATAAAATTTTTAATAGAATGTTGATGAACTTTTCATTTCAAAATCCGATTCATTTCAATCGTTAAGATATTTAATGTTGAACATTGAGAGTATTTCTGTTTAATTCGCAACACTTAAATGTTGAAAATTAGAAAGATTATTTTTTACATTAAAATGTTAAAAATGCAAATATTGTTTAACATAAAAATGTTAAAATTAAGTTATGTTAAGTTATCGTACTGTGTTTTAGTTTATACTATATCAATCAGAATTATTACCTGTCCATCATCTCTTCGATTGTCAAAGACCATATAATAAATCTTCATGTTGAATTTTCTATTTCTTCTTCCAGTGTTTTTATTATTGAAGGTTGACTACAATTCCGAACTTTTCTTTATTCATATATTACTCTGAATACATCTACATATCTAAATCGTCCCTCTTAACATTCTTGAATTACGAACACTTTTTTCTTCCTGAATCCTTAATAGTAAACAAAATATTACATAATTAATTTAAAAAAGGGAGAAAATGGGAAATCAAATATATGTTATAAATTCTTTGTCAGACTGATAAAAATTTTTACATAAATTGAAATATTTAAAAAAAAAAACTCTGAGAAAGTCATTCTTACATCTTCTCTCAGAATTTTTTATATGCATGAATCCTGAAATATTCCAAGATTTTTAAATAAGATTTTATTCCTCATTTATAACTTCCGAAAATATAACAAATATTTCAGATTCTATAAGATTTTTATTTTCAAAATATTTCAAAATTGATACATATGCAGAATAATTCTAAAAAAGATGTAAACAAAAATTCTAAAAATTATATAAAAAATTTTGAGAAAAATTTTCACCAGGGATAATGTTATAAAAAGCTCGATTATGTTCCAAATAGCTAAGGTCTCAACGGCAGAATCTCATTAACAGTTTTCATTTAATAACCAGCCAAGCATTTAGAACATAAACGAGCGGAGAGGACTGGCTGCCGACACGCGATCCGCAGTTTAAGTAACGATTCCATTTCTCCCTAATGTTTTGCTGAATAAAAGCATTTATTTCAATTAAGTGGAAACGCCATTCATGAATGCTCCCTTTTTACAATCTCTCTGAAATGTCTTTTTTTTTATACAGTAGCAGCAATCTTTGTAGTTGGAAAGTATTGAATATCTTAATTTAAGTATTCAACATTTACGATCATTACCATTTGTCAGAAAAATTTTCAGGAAACAGTTAAACTTTGTTGTCAAATCTCTTTGTGATTTACAGAAACTTCGCGGTATCGAACGGCCTGGTGAATCTACCGCTTTACAATGCGACAGGATTCTGCGGCCTCTGCCTGTACAAAGATACTTACGGATCGGTGACCAATCACTCCTGCATCTCCAGCAATCCCGTTGTCATCGACTCGTCCTCGAAGGATCAGCCACGTTATAGCAGCAGTAGCAGCGAGACATCTGATAATCCGCCGAATCTCGTGTCCACGACTTAATTAAATCCAACGTGCGATCGCTATGTTCACTGATAAGACACATCTGACAATAAGTTCATTTTCCTTTTTTTCTCTGTAAACTACGCGATATAGAAACAGTTTTAACGATCAATTTTCGGCGTGCATGAAAGGTGAAACGTTAAGAAAATCTTTTCTGGCGCTATATAATAAGTAATTAGGAAAAAAATTGCAATATTTATTGACGTCAAATATCAAAAGATATTTTTTTTGTACCAGTTTTTTTTCTTAATTTCATAATTTTTTTAAACATCGTTGGAAATTGATTAATTTAGTTTTTAGAATTTTTCATGTAATTTGCAGAGTTCCTTTTCAATTGCATTTTCTCATTTGTTATTTATTTGTATGGGATGAAAGATAAAAAAAAAAATCATGTTTATTTCTATCGATGTAGATTAATTTTAATCTTAATTCAAGTTTGTCTAATTCTTAGAACTTGATTTATTGATAAAAATGAACTAAAACATTAGTCTTCAAGATTAAAACTTTTTAAAGCACGTCGAGAATGAAATTAATTTGGAACGATGAAAAAACATGAAACATTGTTAACAATTATTATCGAAAAGTCAATCGGATTGCAATTAATCATATTAGTGACGTAACGTATAAAGTTGCACAATTATTAATTATATGATAATTATAATAAACATAAGATTTGAGCATGTTTTATCTGTAATGAACAAGCTTAATCAAAATAACGAGAATACACGAAACTGCAAAAAAAAAAAATATATAGTTTAGTTATTTATTTAATTGTTTCGTGAATAATTCACAATAATTAGTGCAATGGGTTATAATATAAATATATCAAATAACTTTTTATAGCTGACGCATAAGTACAATTGCATGTATTTCACGAGAAATTTTGGAGGAGAATGAAAAAACACAGCTCTGTAGACTAAAAGAAGTTTATTAAATGTGTAAAAATAGTGTTACAATCTAAATATATAATATATTCTTATTATATCCTAAAAAAATCCTAAATTTCTTAATTTTTAGAATTTCTATAGTTTCTTCAATCTTCTAAAACTGTAAATTCTTTATAACTGTAAATGCAAGAATTTTACTTCGAGAGATTCCGATTCAAGAGAGAAAGTAGACTCTTTTTTAATTCTCAATTAAATTTTTAGCTTTTTTTAAAATCTTTCAGTTTTTTCTTCATAAAAAATTTCATATTGCTAAAAATTTTAGTAGTGGAGGCTGAGATTAAAACTAACGAGTAAGCTGTAACACTTACATAAAAAACGTTATAAACAAAATATAAAAGCGTAAAAAAGAGATAGAAGTTTATAATATATTTATTATAAACTTCTATCTTTTCTTTACACTTGCATATTTTGTTTATAAAGTTTTTTTATATAATTGTTACAACTTCCCATTTTACTTTTAACCTCTGTCTCCCCTACTGATATAAAATACTTTTTCAATTGTTATATATAGAAGCTTAAGAAAGCAGTCTATCTTGTAGATTTGAAATTAATAATTTTTGTGCTTTTTGTGAATGCAATAAATTTGTTATAAAATTTTCAAATATTTTACTAATTAATTATTTAAAGTTGTATGAGTAACTTAAAAAAAAAAATATTAAAAATTATTTTTAAAAATGTCTTTAATATGCGTATACAATAATTTTTCTTCATCTGATAAAAAATGTTAAAAAGGCTAAATGTTATTAAAGATAATATTTTCAATTATTTCAAGAAGAAATTAAATATTTGTAAAATAATAGCAAATTAAAGTCAGATTTCGAATATTTATTTGAAAATTTTTCCTTTGAAAATATAATATTGTTATTAAAATAATATGAACCGTTTAGTTTGAAATGTTGCCACAGTATAAACTGTATCCTTAAGATTAATATAAGCAATAAAAAATTTTTGAAGGAACAGATCTTAGGTATTAAAATTTTTAATTTTATTCATTTTTTCAATCTTTGGATTCTTGGAACTTTTAGAAACTCAGATTCTTAGATTTTTCTCAAAATTACCTGATCTCAATTAATACTTAAAACAATTTGAAAAAATAGATCGTTACTTGAACTTACCTCGGTCGGCAGCCTTGGAAGGACAGCGGCACAGGCACATCGCTCTCGCAGAGTACCAGCCCAAACGGTAAACCAGAAATTAATGAAAACGAAAGACAGCAATTAATACAGTGAAAGTAAAAAGAAGTCTCAATAAGAAACGCCCTGCCTGCCTTTCGCAAACGAGAGAACTTAAATAAACTAAGTGACAATGTTTCTCGTCTCTTTTTTTCGCGCCTTACGAGGACACAGCTGCCTATAAATTTGAACTTGGACTTTCCGTGTAATGAATTTACATTAAAAATAAATCCATATGTCTAAATGTGTAGCTTTCAATAAATATTAATATTCGAGATTCAGATTCCTGAAATTTCAATTGCTCATGATATGCCATGTAAATCTTGAGAGCAGTAAAGTCTCTTCGATAATGCCGGTTGTTACATCTCAACTTTAGATGTTAGCCTATTTGTTAAACTCATTTCTCTTTTAAAAAACTAATATTTCATCATATCAATCTTAATTAGTTCTGATTTTTTTTTTATATTAGCATTACCTGTTTTTGCATGATTACATCCTTGTTTTGGAAATCTCGAATTCTTAAAAAAAACCTTGTATATTGACGAATCAGTATGAAAGTGTATCTACAGTATAAATCAATTATTCTTACAGGAATCTTAGGTGATGAAGATTTTTAAATTGAGAACTTACTAACATTTTGAATATCAAATATATTATTGATAATTGATTTCCTAGATATCATAGTTCTGATAGTGTGATTCCTTCAACCTAATATGCGATAAAAATATCACATCTTGAATAGAAATGCTATATAATTTGAAAATTTCTCTACAAAGTGAAAAATCATAAAAGAAGATATTTGAAGATCTAATTTATGAATTTTTCTAAAGTACTCGATGATATAAAGTTCTGTCTGCTTAACATAAATAAATCTTTAACTTTGTTTTTTTCTAAAATTCAAGATTCATACTATAAACTCTATTTTAAACTCTAGATCTTCAGACGACGATATATGAAAAAAAGCACATCTCTTAAAGAGCCCTCTTCATTTCTAAACGATATATTTTTAGAGAGAGAGACTTTCTGTGTACACACACGAACACTGGTGAAGATATAAAAAAAAAAAAAGAGAAGAAAAATATAAAAAAACAGTAACGATGCAACAGCTATACGAACGAAAATGAATCTCCTGTTCAACCTAAAACTTTCTTTGTGAAAGGAAGATGAATTAAATGGAATCGGCAATGTTCTTAGCGTTACACATGTGTTGCTAAACTTCGTGATTTTATATATGTATCATTGAACAAAATGTTTAAAAAAATTTAAACGTGTTTTTTTTTTAATTAGAATGTTAGAATTTGTATAAATGATAAATTAAAATAAAAATAAACTTTAGTATGAAACATATACAAACTTTTTATTTAATATACATATACAAATGACAATCTGCAACATGGTAGATAATTGCAACCAGTCTTCAATAAATAATAAAAATAATTTATATATTTCAAAATTAATTTTGTATAGTTTTTAATTCTCAAAGTAAAAATTTATTTCCACTTTATGTGCATACGCGCATCTTTCTTTAAATCGTGTCTCTCGCATTTTTTAAAAGAGCATTTGTTTTTATTTTTTTTCTTTTTGCATTAAATAATTATAGCAACGTTATAAAAAATTTTTTTAATTTGAAAGATTCTGAATATTTTAGAAATTTTTAACTTTCTCGATATAATCTTAAAGCAAATTCTACCGATTCTTTTCCATTCATCAAACTTTCGCAAGTTCTCTTATTAATAACAACAATTCTGGTATACAGTGCACCAGATACACAACGTAGTCGCCAAAAAACATTGTAAAATAAGACTGTAATGTCATGCACACACTTGTTGCCATTTAACACCCTATAAAAATATATGTACATTTACGTGTTATATATGTATATCTAAGCAAATGAGTCGAAACATTCCTACCTGTGATTGCATAACAGAGGCTAGAATGGAAAGAGTCTAGTAAACACTAGTCCTGTCTGTCGCAGCCTGAGAATCCTTTCTCTCTCTGTTATTTTTGCTTTTTCCCTTTTTTCCTGTTCTTTCGCTCTTTCTCTCTGCTATCTGCTAGCTTCTTCCTGGCTCTCTTAACCTGATAATCTTCGTCACTAAATTTCAAAACTGCACTAGACTAACTAGAGACTACTCTAGTACTTCAACACCGCTCTAGATCTACCGAAAAGTGATGAACTAATTGGGGGATGAGAAGATTAGATTCGAAAATTATGCTTTAGATAAATACTTGAACTAAATCTTTAAGTATATAAATCTTCAAACTAAAAAATTTTAAAGATTCATTATATCAATAGTATATAGGAAAGTTTTATCTTTTCCTAGCAGAAGCAATTAAATTCAAATGAAATTTCGAATTTTTTGAGAAAATCAATATTAAAAAAAAAATTAACTCAGAACTTGAAAACTTTAACAACCTTGGAAGACTGTAAACTTTTAAATTTTCCAGGTTTTTAAAAACTAAATTTTTTAAATATTAAAAATTTTTTTAACAAGTTTTTTAAATTATCCTTTCTTATCACTCTTTCAAAATTCTTAAGATTTTTTAAGAATTCTCAAGTTGAATAGTAGTGATTCGAAATTCTTGATAATCTATCACTATCTAGAGCATAAATCTTTCTATAATAGAAAATGGGTACGAAAAAAATTCGCAAATCGATATTTATGACATTCTTCGCGATGAAAAAAAAACTACAAAAGACTGGGATGGGATTTACGTTCTATACAAATGATTTAATACTGCGAATACATATTTGAACATTGACGCCTCGAGATATCGGTGGTATTTTTTTTCTTTTTCATTAACTACACAGTCGACAGTACATCTATTTCTGCCTTTTCCTTTTTTTTCGTCTATTGTACAAGTCCTACAAGTTGTTCCTTCAACGTGTACAAGAAATGATCC